TAAACCTTTGTAATGTTATAATAATAATCGTTTATGTAATATAACCAACGTTTTTCAAATGTATAAGGTTTTCAGTGTTTTTGTCATTAACTAAGAAATTTCAAAAATTAATTGCTAAGCGTAATTAATTTTATCCAAAACCAAGGAAATGGAAGGATTTTATCAAACCTCAATTTTTAACATGTTTAGAACATTAACACACATACTAGATGAGTTAAAGGCGTCTTTGCGATCTCCTTAGGTGTATTGCTACGTAACGAAGAGCGCACGACATTTCTGTATACTCTTTAATTCAGATTTAGGTTGATTGGTCAAAACTGTATTTTAATGTTAATAGAGACTAGCAAGAAGTTTTCATTAGAAATTCAGTTTGTATTAAATGAGTGTAAAATATGCGCGGGATTTTAGAAATAATATTATACGTATATTTGACGTAAAAACAAAAACATGTTTTAGCTAATTAATGTCCAAACTTTTTAACAGTAAAAATTAAATATAGAAAGTGGTATTTGCCCTAAGTTTAAGACACGAATTACAATCTTATTTCTATGTGTTTACATTAAATAACATTACATCCATTTATGTTATTATATTATCACATATTTAGCAAAGTTGTCGACACTTTTTCTAAGACCGTCTGGGAAAGTGAGGCTGTTATTTTTTGTCTTACCTTGTATGTATAGCAAAATGCACATAATATATGATGTTTATATATTTTACATAAAACTAATATAATGAAAATAATACTTTTTAGTTGAGATATTTTATTGTCTTTATTTTACTTAATTTCTGAAGATACAAAAAAAAAAAAAACGCAAAGGAATAAGTTTTAAAGTTTATAAAATTTGTTGAGGTAGTCCTTCAAATACATAGTAAATGTTTGAAATGTGGCCTAGTGGTTAGCGTTCTAGGCTGCGTCCATGGTTTCTCACCACGATACCATTGAAGAGACTCCACATTTTCAGCTGTAAATACATTAAAATAATAACAGTCAATCCAATTTTATTCGGTTCAAAGCAAACTGGTCAGTAGTTCAATATTAGAGACGGCTATAACTGAATCCCAAAGGTCTTAAACGTAACTGTTTAGCTCAGCTAACTCAAAAAATGCCGTTCAGGCCAGAATACAAAATGCTTATAAAAATATTAGATATTTTGACACAATCTATTCAAACGTATACATATTATTTCCTGCATTTCATATTGAACTAAATTTTATCTTAATATTTGTTGCTGTCTAAAAGCAAAGCTACACGATAGGCTCTTTCTGCTCTGTTATCGTCGAGAATCGAATCCAGGATATTAGCGTTGTAAGTCCATAAACGTACCGCCGATCCACGAGTGAACTAATTTTTAATAGCCGCATGACGATAAGAAATTTATTTTCATGCTACATGCAGTTTCAATCCACATATGTAAAAGAGGTCATGGGAAGTATTTGGATTACATTAGATTTGTAACTTACAACTGATATTACTGGGATATATCTATCATTTCACAAATAATTTAGGGTATAATATACGAATAACTACAACGTACAGCGAGACCCATTAATTAAATTAAGTTCATATTCTCAGATAATTACATTTTTATACACTAACTAAGTTCATAAACTTAAACAATTACAGAACATGGGAAATCCATTAACTAAGTTCATAAACTTAAACAAATACAGAACATGGGAAATCCATTAACTAAGTTCATAAACTTAAACAAATACAGAACATGGGAAATCCATTAACTAAGTTCATAAACTTAAACAAATACAGAACATGTGAAATCCATTAACTAAGTTCATAAATCTGATGATGACAAAACCTTGTCGAAACGTTGTACATTTGCTGTTATGTTAAACTTATATTAAAGTTTTTCTTCATTACCCATTCAAGCCGTCTCCAACCATTATTAGTCTCAAAGTGGGTTCCTCGTCATCGAATTTAAGTTCATAAACTTAACAAATACAGAACATGTGAAATCCATTAACTAAGTTCATAAACTCAAACAACTACAAATCGTATGGAGATCCATTAACTAAGTTTATTTTCTTAGATTACTACAAAACTCAGTGAGATGATTGTATATATTCATATAGTCAAATATATATAGAATACAAAGACATCTCATAGACTAATATTATGTACTCGAATTAACAAACATAACACACTGAGATCCATTGTCTAAATTAATAACATGTTTGTACGACTAAACACACATTGGGTTACGATGAATAAATTCTTGTACTTGAACAACTATAGAAAATAGACCTTTTAACTAATTTTATATATTCGAATAATTACAAGCGTAGTTAGATTCATCGACTAAGATCTATGTTAGAATATTTGCAAAACAAAGTGATATTCGTGCACTAGATTCATATACTCGAACACAATGTGCAGAACACATTTGGATTAATTTACTAAGTTCAGATATAGAAAAAATACAGAACACAATGAGACTCACTAACTAAGCTTATACGCTCACTTAAGCCCAAACCACTAGAAGATCACAGTGATTAGCTTCGTATGATTTGAATAGATACAGAACACATACAGAGTTCTTGTACTCGAACAACAAAAGAACATAGCGAGATCCATGACTGAATTAGAACAAATACAAAATACAATTTGAGTACATAAAACTTTAGTTTGACTTTTTATCTCATCTTTAAATATTCTTGTTTGTGTATTTTTTCTGTATTAAGTATGTTACTTAAACACAGTTTTATTCTTTACTTGGTTGTGTTTTAAGTATTAATTTAGGTTTCTCTCTCAGTGTTTTTACTTGTCTTTCATGTTTATTGTATCGATAATAATATAAAATAACCTGTTAAAGTAAATGATAATGATTTAAATATACCCGTAACAATAATTTGTTTTACAACTATCAAAAACAGATTATTGTGGATCATGCTTAGATAAATGTGTGCGGAAATAATCCAAAGAAGACATTATGTTTTTAATATAATAGTGATTTTTATACGATGCTGAACATTGGAAATTTTTCTATTTGTTTTTGAAACATAAAATGATAACAAACATCTTTCTTGATTTGTACTGTCACTGGATCTCAAACTGATTGAGCAACTTTTTCATGAACATCACGTTTGTCGTCATAATCCATTTCGAAACCTTTAAACTAGTTGGAGATTTTACTTGACGAATGAAATACAATCTAAAGAGTCACATCCCTGAAATTTGTATGTTATGCCAAATGGTCAGGCTATTATCTCAGCGACAGGTTGTACAACTAGTTTTTAGGCAAGGTACTAATAAAGTGGCTGGTTAGTCTAACCACTAATAGCTCGATGGCTTTCGCCTACGTAGTTCCATCCCAGCATTTGTGAGTGAGCTATTATCAAAATAGAAACCTTCTATAATCTCGTGGAGTATATATCCCACTAAGTCCAGATTATTATTGCGAAAAAATAATGGTGTAACTGGGTTTTTAAAAGGAAGTCCTAATACACTAAATTTCCTCTCCTATTTCTGAGTGATAATTGTAATCTTCACTTTGGTATGAGGTTTCAATTTGGGCATCTAAAGCTTCAAACATATTGTAATGTAGATAATTCACTGTTTATACAAAAATATTTTTTTTGTTTTTCACGTGTCATTTATTAGTCGGGATACGTTAGTTCAGTGATATCTCGGATATCGAGTATATAATAATCACCCGCACAATTTGCTGAAAATAACTAAGCCTACGTTTGTTGCTCTGAATCATACTGACTAGTACAGTAATCACAGCTTGGCTCACAATGGAAAGTTTTCTATCAGCATAGGTGCCTCCAAAGAAACAAATGATAAAGCCTGAATACTTAAACATACCGCGAGATGTTAACATAGATCCAACGTGGTTTACCCAGGAGGCCACCGATATTGAATAAGAATATCTTATCAATGTTTTCTTATGTAGCGAGCCTCTAGTTCTATACTACAGCCGTAAGTTGGTGGAACATAAAAACCTATTCACATTCTATACTACAGCCGTAAGTTGGTGGACATAAAAACCTATTCACATTCTATACTATAGCCGTAAGTTGGTGGACATAAAAACCTATTCACATTCTATACTATAGCCATAAGTTGGTGGACATAAAAACCTATTCACAAATGAGTGAGTTTCGAGTCTTCATCAGTTGTTGTTTAGTAAGATTGTAAGAGTTTCAATATGAAATTGTTATTTCTAAACCATTTACTCGTCCTTGATTAAAATGAATAAGAGTATTAAGTCTGTTGGCTTCATTGCTGCGCTGGCTTTCGCCGTTTAAAACCATAGTATTAAATTATCATGTTCAAAAATTTCACACAATTACTTTAATCCTGAACAGGTACTATAATATGGGTCAAACGCCTTTGCTTTTGAGGTTTAAGAATATTATATATATATATATATATATAAATGTATATATTTTTTGAGATGCAAAGTTGCAAAAGCGTTTGTTTTCATGAATTGTGGGTAATCGTGAAAACTTCAGAAACTGTCAGAATGGAGAAATAACTACTTTTGGGGCAGTAACATTGAGATTTTTTGTATGTGTTTTATTGTGAAGTCTTTCTGCAAACATTGCTTTAGCTTACAGAGGAAACTTTTTTTTCGTATATTAACATATTTCACATAAAAGGACTGAATGATAATTTCATATTTATACCCGTGTTTTTTATGTGAGTGTTAATGTAATATTATTAGTTTTAATTAATATAAATTAAATAGCATGTGTTTGTAACTTTTATACATATAATAATTATCTGATGGATATGGAATAGTCATGCACAGATACACACACATATTTGTACGTCGCTTCAGATTAGTGCACTAGGTTTTGTGTTTCACAGTAGTGTAAACATAAGTGTTGAGTTTCGTGAGCTATAATACTGAAACTAAAACTACAGTCCTGTTTTTTTATAACAAGTGCACATAGTATATATATGTATAGAGAGCCCTCTACCCCTGCCTACCTAATGGTTGAACCTACTGATTAAACGAAAGGTCTACGGCTACGCAGCTCAGAGCAGTGGTTTAATACACGTTGATGACTTACGAACGAGTCCACGACAGGTAAAGCAGCTTACTCCACTTTGTGAAAGGTTCTTTGTTCAGCGATCATATTGTACTAAACTGCAAAGTTTTTTAGAGATTTTTCTTCATGGCCGTAAGTATAATATTTCCATTTACCTACATTATATGTATTTAAAATCTGTTGAGAAAGCAGCCATATGTTCTATCTGTTCAATTACACATGCGCCAGACAAGTCTGATATCTCGACAGAAGCCAGGAACGTGTGTAGTGACGCCATTGGTGTTGGTTTCACGGCAAACACAATTCTCATTAGGAAACTAATTGACCGGAAGTTGAGCTAATGGATGGTTGTTGTAAAGACGTGAAGTGGCGATTCTGGTTATACAAAGAATATATTATGTTTTTTAATACTATGTTCTTATTTAACTTTGGCAACGCGCGAACGTTAGCTTTAACATTGACAGATAAAGTACTTTCTAAGCGAAAGTTTGTACTTATTGTATTGAAAATATTTATATATGTGTTTTCGAGACTAACGAGTTCTATATGCTATCAGTATCAGTTAGTATTGTTCATAATCAAACTTGTTATAGCTATCGAAAAGTATTCCAAGTACTCCTCGCGAGGTTAACTATTGTACACTAAAATAATATGAACTAAGTAACATAATTTAATTAATTTTTAAACATAACATCTTTGACATATAGAAGGACATAGAATTTGAAGGAAATAAGTCTAATGAGCAAACTAAGATTTGATTATTGAAAAACAAAACAAAAACGAATTATATGTTTTGTGAAATTAAATTTTAAATTAGATGAGTGGCAAGTATCCTGTGAAAATAATGTATTTTAAAGGTTACTATTTCTTTCATAATTTTTTCATCATATCATCTAATATTTATATAGGTAAGCCAAGTAATAGTATATTAACTTCATACTCATAGGCCTAACCATATTTAAATATAAACATTGAGGGTTTATCACAAATTGCTTCACTATTTCCATTTAAGAAACTATATTCACAAAAATCTCGACTTTGTACAAGGTAAACATTTAATGAAAACATTATTCAAGTGACATCAATTTTCACCAATTAATATAAAGTACGAAACCAAACAATAATTCAGTACGTATGTGATTAAAAATCTTTATTAGAACATATTTTTTAAAACCTAAAATAAAAACAATGCTCTGAGAGTTGATTAACATTTATTGCCAAAGGAAATCTGTAAAGGAACCTGAAATATGATTTTATCTACTTTTAAGTTACGTAAATACATATTTTACTTGGCTTAATCAACTCCGTAAAAGATGTTATGTTAAATTAAAAACAATAAAATGGACTGTTTTAACAATTTTGGAAACGCTATCGAACTAAGTTTGCTATTCGAAAGCTGAGTCAACATTTAAGAAGTGAAACAATCTTCACTTTTTATATAATTAGTTCAATATAGGTGTTACATTCATGGTCTGAAAATTCAGTGACTGAATTATTATGTTACAGCATCAAATTCTACCTTGGTAAATACAAGCAGGATTTCAGGTAGTTATCAAATTTAGTATAACAAGTATTGAACGATGGCTTGAGTGCACAGCTGCTGCAATGCCGTGAAACCTAAATGTATGGATGAGCCGTTATACCCCAAACTTCTCTGATCATCAAGTCTTGTCGATTAGCAAAATAATACAAATGTGTATGAAAATGTAACATTTTATTTTCACATAAGTTTAAACTATATTTGACATTATTTTGTTATTATCATTAATACTTCAAACTACGTAACCTGTGCCTCTTAATATGAACTAGTTACGGTAGTGTTGTGTTATACCTGTTACTTATTAACTTAATGATAATTAGGGAGTAAGTGATGGCAACAACATGCATCCTTTATTATCATACTGGTAACTAGGGGATTAGGGTTATGCAAGCCTATATCTAGGTCAGGTAAAGCTGCATTTATAGAAATTATCGCAAAAACAGGTGCGCGTACATATGGCAAAATGGAATGTACAAGAGTAAAGGAAACTAATTAATGTATAGGTAGGTGATTAGAAAAGACGTACGAAATAAAAATCTATGTAAATAGCTGATTAAGTACGTAGAAAATATGCTTGTGAATAGATTGAAAATAAAAAGAAGTAAAATATACGCATATGTGTTTTTGTTTCATTAAATGTCTAGATATAAATATTGACGTTCGTTTCGTAATTTTGGTTTTCAAAACGTTTTTTTTCCGAAATTATACTTTGATCAGTAAATTGAACATACTTGTGTATAATTATTTTGCAAATGTGTTTTATTGCTGTTTTATGCAATAAGATAACAAGTAGATGGAGAGAAAAGTAAGAGCTCTAGAAAAATCACTGTTACTAAAATTTGATCATTCGTAGGAGAGATTTAGCATTTCAAGGATTTTCAACTAAAACTAGTTATTACTTGCGAAAATTCAGCTTTAGTAAAATGAGCAAAACGAATTACTCACTAAGTAAAGAGAAGTGAGAAAATCATAATGTGTGCATTAGCGTGAAAAATAACTTCTAAAGTTGACACATCAGCTTATGGTGCAATAGATTCCGCGTTCATTTAAATATATACAGGAAATAAAAGATCTATTAAGTTTTTTTAATGTTCAGCGTTTTGAAGTGATCACCTTTCGATATGCTTTGTAGGATATTTGGCGTTTTCCAACAGTTTTTAAACAGTAACATATGTAACGCTTAGGAACAACACGTGATCACATAGCAAACAATATTGAGGAGTAAAAGCTGTTTGTAATTAATTATGTTTACGTAACTGATTATTAGTATTAGTGTACTCCTTGTGCGAATATCTAATTAACTGAGACTTTGAGTGAAGATTATATAACTTTGTATTCACTTGTAGCTTTTACTTTATTCTTCGTCATGCCGTCTTGATTTGACATAGAATTGAGTGTGACGTAATTCTTTGATAGCATAACGACTCTGCTGATTGCATGATGCATTTCAAAAGTTATAGTTTGCAGTCTTTGTTAAATTTAAGGACAACTTTTCCAGTTACATAGAATGAGGCTTACAAGTAGAGCATATTTTAAATAGTTTCTTATGAAAATCTCCTAATCATATAATTGCCAGTAGTTAGCGCACACTTCAATTTAACTCAGTCCTCTGACGTTTCCTTCTAAAAATGCGAATTTTGATAGTTTACGGTTATCACGTGAAGATATATTACTGAAGTGGCTAATACCAGAGTATAGCATTATTATAATAACTCAGCAGCTATTTTGCTGGAGAGAATGCATTTGTTATTACGCAAGGATAATTCATATATTGTTTAGCTTTTAGAAAATCTAATGTTTATGGTAAACTGAAATAACAAATTATAAAAGAAATGTAGTAGAATAAGGCCTTAGATATTTCGTAAAATACCAATATGCTTATGACTTAACTATATAAAATACGCGTGCACCTTACCTATATAAAATGCGCTTGTATTTTATAGATCCATTTCTTGAGTAAAGTAACACTTCTGAAGGAATGTAACCACTTTGTATTATAAAAATGATGAAAGAAACAAAACTTTGTTGTTAAGCGCAAAGCTATCTTTGCTATGCCAACCACAGGTATCGAAACCTCATTGTTAGCGTTATGCGTCTTCAGACTTGCCGCTGTGTCATTCGATGGCACAAATATAGCACAAACGTTGGAAGGAAGTTGTGAGTTAATTGAGCTCATGTTCTACTTTGAAGTGGGATTAGAAATGAATGCTCGCCAATAATTCATGAAGTGTCTATAAACTACTCTGTTCACGATATGTCTGCATTCATTTTATATTTAAATGTGACTTATCCTCAAAGTTTTAGCACTTTTATTTGATATTTTACAAAACATGTTTTAAAGAACAACTTTACTTTTTAGTACTTCAAAGTATGTGAAGAAAAACTGTAATATGTATATACATATGAATAGTAATACATATACTGAAGTGAAGACTTACAATATCTCGCATAATTCAATTACTTCACTAAACCCCGCGAAACCCAACTTTATTAAATTTCCCATTACACACCTTTACATCATTAATCGGGGATATCTAATAATTATTAATATGTCGTTGTCATACATTTCTAAGGTGTCAGTTTGCGAGAATTATCAAAGCACGAAATGATAGCGATCCGAATACGATCACCAACCAAGTAAAAAATATATGATGTTTAAAATACTTACTTTCTTTAAAACCGAGTAGCTTCGCTTTCATTTCTTATTTTCTCAGTTAAAACTTTGCAAAATATAGTCATTAATATTATTTTATTTAATACACTAAAAAGAAATAAATGTCATAATTCATGCTAAGCTTAAAATCAAAACAGCTCAAAATGTTGAAGCTTTCACTTATCACCATTTATATAATCAGATCTGTTGGACCTCTTCTTGTGTTGGTATCTCTTACCCAGTGTTATTCTATGAGCAGTGGTTGCTAATAAGTTAAGATACCTTTACCTTGCCCCCAGTGGTATGTCTGCGGACTTATAACATTAGAAACCGGGTTTCGATACCCGTGGTGGGCAGAGCACAGATAGCCCATTGTATAGCTTCGTGCTTAACTTCAAACAAACAAACTATTACCTTTGTTTAACGTAACTTTTTGTTAGGAAATAATGGTAAAAATATTTCGACTGTAAATACTAGTAAGGCTTGGTAAGAAGAGGTAAAATACAAAAGTTTTACATGTATCTTAGGTAAAAATATAGGTAAGTTATATTGTCTTGCACATTGTTGGGAAGTGACAAAACAAACAGTTAATCACATTCGGTTAATCTCAAATATTATGTAATCTTTGATCAAATTATTCTTGTTTCATTCTCAGTTATAGAGCACTGTCAAGATGTCACGTGTCGGATCCATAGACGAATTACTCGTCCGTTTGCGGAAGTCTTCTGCAGAAGAATCCGGAATACACTCAGCGATCCGGGCTGTAGCTATGGCGAAAGACGATGAAGGAACAACCGTAGAAGGAGTCTACACTACCGCTACACCTGAGGAAAATATTGGCGAGAAGATGCTCCATGAAATTATGGATAAAACACACCGTAAGTGTTCATGAGTTAGATATTCTAATACTGATATAACATTATGGTAAATAGCAGAAATAAACTAATAAAAGTTGATCGTAACTGTGTAGAATTAAAGGTCTAATTATAATCTTCTAAGATTATAAGAGGGAAATATGTTCTAAACAAGGGGTTTCGAAACTTTTAAGATCCCATAATGAAAACTTCGATCTAATGATTTAATAGAAAATTTAAATAATAACCACTCTGCAATAAATAAAATTATCGTTGAAAGATGAATTTGTCTGAGAAGTTTTAAAGAGAATATTTCTACACGTGCCGAGACTCCCCTAGAACGTCTCGCGTACCCAAGTTTGGGACCTAGTGTTCTAAACAACAAAACATAATCTATTATATAATGTATCTCATGTTAATAGAATATCAAGAAATAATTTTTACGTTCAAACTTTTAAAAAGAGGTAGGATTCAGGAATCTCATTTTGTATATACAAATTTCAGTGATATACTAAGTATCACGACACTACAGAATTTATACAATAGCCTAGATCAATAATATGAAGATATAATGTTTGTTTTAATTTTGCTACAAGTATATGTACGTGTATGACACTGATGTTAACTTGTTTGGAATTACGTAAAACCAAAGAGAGTTTACAAACCTCAAGAACGTACTTTATAACTGCTATCTGCTTTCTTGTAAGATTATATAGTACATTTGATGTTGTTTTGTCCTTGACTACTTTACTGATCTTAAATTAGTGTTTTCGCTAATTCTGGATTCTAAGGTTGTAATAATAAAACCTATATGCCTAGAATTACATCTATATTTGTAAACAGTGTTAGAATTCAACAATTTTGTCTGTCAAATTAAAGGAATGTTTAGTTGTACGTATCAGTTTTTTTAAAGTTATTGGACTTAGTTACAATACAATCGCATTTTTGTGTTTAATCAAGAGATTTGTGATCAGATGTACGAAATTACTATGAGATCTGGATCAGCACCAGTACTGGCTAATCTGTTTCTTTGTTGTTATGAAAAATGTTGGATGGATGATTGTTCGGAAGAATTCAAATATATTTATTATAACAGATATGTGGATGACAAATAGAAATAACACATTCAAGCATAATTTCTCTGATTTCTCCTAGCCTGTTCCCTTGGCTGTGGTTTCGCTAGATAGTAGATAGGGACAGTGGGAATCTCGTTAATCCATTCATGCGCCTCACTAATTAGATGACGAGGCATTTGGCTCCCTTAAGAGAGTCATAGTTAC